GCATAAAGATGGCTAGATAGTTAGTTATTAAAAAGACAATGGAGGATTATCACTGGCACAATTTCTATATTCAATCACTTAATCACGTGTATTACATAAGTATTTTCTAAATTTCATTCTAAAGTGTAATTTTTACTATGTTTTTGATTACTCAAAATTATATTCTTATCAGGCTGAAATGAATTATTTTAAGCCTTCCAGTATTGCCAGTGTTCTAATCCTTCATTTAATTTTATTTTATTCTTTTCTTCAATTTAGTTATTTTTATGTTGCTGGGGACTGAAGACAAAGCCTTTTCTGTTGTAGTGAAACACTTTCCTTGGTCCCAGACACATAATTCTCCCTCTTAGCATTGGTTGTGATTTATATTGTCCTTGCTTGTTTCAAACTTCTGGGTACAGGCAAGACTAACTTCTAAATACGGTTCAAATTTGAATTCCTATTTTTAAACAAACAAACTGTGTTTCTAATGAATATGTAAGGAATTATTCAATTTTTTTCTCATTTTGCCAAATATTATTATGGTATTTTATAAGACATCTGTGTAGTTCCTCATTACACTTTTTATAAATCAAATATTTGTGCAATGTATAATATTATAATTTTGTTAAGTATGCAAGTATAAAAGAAAAAAACAAATATATATGTATATATGTTTTTTTCATTTATACTTGCTAATTTTTCAGAAGAAAATATTGAATAATGAAAGAAAATATATTTCAGAGATTTGTTTTAGGGTGGCAATAGATTCTGACTTCTCTCCTTCCCTCTCCCTGAAGAATAAGTTGTAATAATACAAATATAATCAAACTATAATTTTTCAGATGGCATAGTCACTAAAAGAATATGAATTAACCTATAGCTAGCAGTTATGTTTATTGCAGTGGAAATAACAGAGAGCATTGTCTGTAAGAAATTGCAGAATCGATCACTGAAATTCCACATAATCTCCTGCATACAATTTTCTCCGTTTCTCAGGAAACGGTGATTTTGTTAGGCACAATATGTTTATATCATAAACGTGTGAGTATATATTTAACTGACTTGGAGAACGATCCCTTGTCCCTGATTTCTTTTCTTAATCTCTGTTGTACAGGGAGCATCATTCAGATGCTTCATATGCATCAAAATGAAGTGACTAGAAATGATGGCAATGTAATTTCACTCTATGTCATGTTGATTTAGCTTTGTCACAGTTGTGTGTTACTGCAGAGTTTTAAATTAATCTGTATGACCTTAGCTTTACTGCTGTTGAGATTCTAGCAATGATAAAATGCCAAGTCATTGGAAATAAATGGAGGAAACCTAAAGAATGTGACATGACAAGTGTGCAGTTTCACTGACTTCCCCTAGGTTCAGTAGACTTTATCACAACATGAAATATTTTTTGCAATGTGCTTGTCTTAATGAGAACAGATGTCTCCTATTGCATAAAAATGAATGCCTGAAATGCAAAGGTCAGTAAACACTATCCTATGCTTTTGTATTTTATGGGCACTGAAAGCTTAGTGCAGGAATATGGAATTCATGAACCACAGTTTTCCTTTGGTTATATCTTAATTCTGAAGTGTGCCTACTGAGGGCAGAATATCAAGTCAATCACTGGTGAAGATTGAGACTATTCCTCTTCATCACAAGTTTTCCAGTGCCACTCGGTAATAATTGAAGTTTGGTCATACCAGTGTTGACAATCTCCAAAAAGAACTGCTCTCACAACATAGCTTATATTGATAAAGTGCTACAAAGAATAGCTGTCTTCACATTTACTGTTATTGGCCTCATAAAATGGTCTTCTATAAAGAGGAAATTCATATATCAGCACATTGCCTTGTAAAGGAGGCCATTTCATCCATAGTCTGAGTTCCCTGATGACCTTTAGATTACTTTTCAGAATTTAAAATGCCCTCACACAAACACACACTGGGAAGTCTCAATTCTGACAATTCAACTTCACTAACTATAATCCCCTACAGATGACTTCAGACTTTGTTATTTCTCTTAATAGTTCCTTTAAAAATTTGACTTTAACTTTTCAAATCAAAAGGCATACTATGAACGTAATGTATAATTTGAAGTTATTCTCCATGATTGAATGGGAAAGTATAAGCAGAAATATTCCATGGCCTTTGTATTATAGACACATATTTTCAAAGTCTCCTCTAACATTGCTCTGCCTTCCATCAGATGCCCCCAACCACTGTACTCTCAGTGTTACTCAATGTCTCCAATGAAATCTATTGCTCCCTGTTGCCCACAGATTGACTGTCAGCCATTTCCTTGGTACATTTAGGTATAAATTTTCTATGTTTGAACAGAGGAGGATTTATAGTGGGCTCTTCAGCACAGACCTCTATTCCTTTGTATTCTCAAGAAATCCTTAAGACCATTCCCAATACCACTGATGTGCCATGTGATTGCAGTACATCTACTCATCCATCACTAAGGAACTTGGTGTATCTTCAGATTCTTCATGTCAATTATAATTACTCAGACCAGCACACAATATAAATACTGCTACTAGAGTTTCTATTTGATATTAAAGCGTGAGAAGAGGAAAAGGAAAACATCTGTGTTGTACACTTTGCTTTGTGTTTTGTCTATGAGTTTATTAAGTGAGACTTAGTGATTCGTAACTTCTTGCCATATTAATGAAATTTTGAATTCATTTGTACTTGTCAATATCTCCTCATTAAAACTTCAGTGTGTGGTAAGAATTAATAAAGAATTTTTTATTATTTTATTTTTAAATCTTGCTTTGTTTGGGATGGAGTTGTAAGGGAAGAACATGGAAGTCATGGGGCAAAACTTAAGTGGGATCCACAAAGAATCAATAAAATGTTAAAGAAAGGAAGGAAGGAAGGTAGAGAATGAAAGAAAGGGAGGAAGGAAGGAAGAAAGAACGAATGAACAAACAAAAGAAAGAATTTTCCCCATGGGGTCTAAAGGCAATAATAAATGACTAACCTAGGTGAGTATTCAACATATTAAAGCAAACTCTTGCCAGATTTCCTTAGTACTGTTGGCTCCTCCAAGCTCCTGCCCCCTACTCTAAACTACTCCAGCCCAGAGAATGGACCTTCCTTCTTTTACCCCAGTTTCTGATCCTACATACACTCAACCGTTTTGACTATGCACCCTAGGTCCATGTCTCATTTCCAGATAGCCCTGCCGACCTATCTCTCACTTCCTTTCTCACCCTCTCCCCTACTCCTTAAACCTTTCCTCTCATGGCCTAGTTCAGTCTGTACTCTTCCAGATGTCTCCAGTTGTTCTTTCCTTCCTACCTACAACAAACCCTTTTCCTTATCCATACCTAGTGGTGGTCATACCCTCATTTTCATTAAGAAAGCGGGTGACTAAAGCTGAATAACTCTCTGTTACACATTTACTCCTACAAAAATCTGCTTGAATTCAAGATCTGCATTTACCTTATCTTTAAGGGACACAATGAAAAACATTGCCATCTGTCAAGTGCCTTTTTTTTGTTTGTTTGTTTGCTTGCTTATTCATTTGCTTTGTTTTTTTTCCTACTTACCTTAATTTCAAACACTCCTCTAAGCTTGTTCAATTTTAGAAGTAATAAATAAAAGTGTATGACATGGAGATGTGTTTTACAGTAGGTAGCTGTTTAATCATTTGAAGTCAAATATATATTCTATTATAGAAATACACACAAATACACATATATTTTTAAAAGCCGAGGGCAGACGATTTCACTGAGAAAATTACCAAGTTGTGAAACTCAGAAAACTTGTAGACTTTCACACATAAGAAGGAGTTAAAAAAGAATTTAACTGAAGTTTCACAATGTTCATTTATATTCCCTAATATATGATTTACTAAATGTCATCACACAAGAAAAATGCTGATTACCTTCCCAGATTAATATTAACTGATGCAACTAAAAATCCAGAAAAATGACAGTTTCATTCATAGAAAAGAGTTGTTCAAAGCCCACTAATGAAACTTAAAATTGAAATGTCAGTAACAAAATGGAGACTTTGATTTTTGTGGGTTTTCTTTTTTCCCCCCTTCCATTCTTATCCTTTCCTTACTGTGACAAAAGAACATAGACTAATATGGGTTTTGAGGTAAGACAAAGAATGTTAGTAAAATAAGTGCTATGCTGTGCTAGTGGCATACTTTTATTTGAATATCCAGACTGTTTAATTTGACAAAATTTACATTTATACTACTATTTTTCAGAGTCTTACAATATATTGTAGGTCTTACAGTATCTTCTGACTCAATATCAGTTTCTCAGTAATATATGTGCTCCACCTGGTGGTAGAAATTTCCATTTTTAATTTTTCATTTTTTCATACAAAAAGTAATTGGACTGTCAAATTTATATCTTTATTTAGCTAATATATAAAATACTAAAATGTTTTCTAGGGTGCCAAGTTAATACATATTAAAATATATTGAAATCATACTATGCTATTCAAATTTAATTTCACCATGAATTAGAATGTGGGGACTGTATATAAATCATTACAGAACATTTTTGCTTGACTTATATTTATTGACTTTATTATTCATTCAAAGATAACCTAAAACCACTAACTAAATACAGATATTTTAATAAGTTTTCCACTAATCTATGTAGTGTTTAGTATTTCTCAATGTTTTACATTCTACATTATTTTACTGGTATTGATTACTCTTAATTGATATTGATTACAACTTTTAAGATCATATTTAATATTTAATCCACTTAGATGTAATTGGTATATGAATATTTTCTCAATGTAATTGTGATTTATCATGCTCCATTACTCATAGTGCTCAGTTAAAACTCTACAGCCGAAACTTTTGAAATAAGTAGTGAATCAGCTACATATAATCATAGTCTTTAAGCTATCAATAAATTGTCTTTGCCTTTGTATTACAAAGTTCTCAGTTCAATTTACTGTTTATATCTATACCTTCAAACAGGTAACTCTGATTATACACTTTACTGATTCCTCTGCTTTTGCAAATTATGTGTCTCTTATTAGGCATCTTCCACCTGAAAGTCCCAGAGTCTTCTCCTATTGGCTCAGCAATCGGAAGAATAAGAGCAGTAGATCCTGATTTTGGAAAAAATGCAGAAATTGAATACAACATTGTTCCTGGAGATGGGGGAAATTTGTTTGACATTGTCACAGATGAGGATACACAAGAAGGAATCATCAAATTGAAAAAGGTACATATATATATATATATATATATAACATTTTGGATTGTTGACAAACTATATAAAAAGAAAAGCACAAAAAATGATAGCTATTTTTTTCTTCAACTAGAATTACTTTACTTATGAAATATAAGCTCCCACAATGTATTTCTAGGTTTACAGGTATATGTCTTCCATTTAATATTAAGACCGCTTAGTTTGGCCAAGTGACAAATTTAAATTTGGCAAAATTTAAATTTCTTCATGATATTAAGATTAAATGTTGAATGAGGTGCAGAGAAAATTGTTTATACTTACATAGTTGAAATAATCAAATTGTAACTACTCAGAAAAAAACATGTATGCAATTCATATTATGCATAAAAGTTGGTGTCATTTTTAAAAGAATACCAGCTTGAGTGGGTGAGATTATGAATAGAAAAGCTATTGAATACTGTAGGCATAGTTTAACATGCTGTTCTAGTCTTCTTGAAGAACAAGACTGTTGAGATAAGCATGAATAGTTAAAATTTGGCTTATGGGGCTTCACTGGTGAAAATGAATTGTGTCTGGCAGTGGACAAGGGGTTATTTATGTGATATTTTGATCAGGAATTTGCCTTCAAACTGCCCATGTCCTAAGAATCTGAATAAAGACAAGATTTGGTGGAAGTAATAAGAAAGTGGTGAGAGAATCTATACACAGTAATGTAAAAAAGGAAGATGTTTGTAAGAAAGAGAACAGGAGTGGAGAAAGAAAGCAGTGGGGAACTACAGAGGGGCAGAAGGGAGAGACAGAATGCATAACAGAGATGGCAAACAACAGAATACGTAGCACAAATAGTGGTGAGGCAGTGTGATGCTTAATTTTATCAACTTGACACAAGAAGAATCATGTGGGAAGGCTTTCTCAATGAGGGGTTCTCTAGTTTAGCTTAATTCTCTGATGTTATATATAGTGGATTTTTATTGTGCTAATTGATATGGGAAAACTGACTAAATATGGACAATGCTATTCCCTATGCAGCAGATTTTAGATTGTATAACTTTATAGAAAGCTGCTTGAGACTAATATATATGTGTGTTATTAATTAATCACTTTCTGCTCTTGACTGTGAATATTTTGTGACCAATAGCTTCATACGTATGCTCTCTTGATTTCCTTCCAAAAATAGACATAACTTGGAGTAGTGGGTCAAGAAAAGTCCTTCTCTATTAAGTTTTGTTTTGGTCAGGTCATTTTTATCTCAACCATGAAACCTGTGGAAAAATAACTAAGTTATGGAAGAATAAGTATGAAAGAAACTGTTATGGAGAAGTAGGATTATTGATATAATGAGCTAAAAGATATAGAAATAAATATAGAGAACAATTAAACAATTGTGTAATAGGAAGATTGTTGAAATATTTAGATATTTGGGATAGAAAAAGTCATTGAATGCAATAAAGAGATTTAAAATTGCTCTTTTCATCAAATCTTGAAAGAGACGAATGCTAAGAGAAATGTAGGCAGTTAAACATGGCTTATGATGTTTCAGTGAGGAAAATGAACTGTCTCTGGATTTGAACAATGGGTGATGTGTGTGATATTTTGACTAGAAATCTTGTTTCATTCTTCCTTAGTAGAAAAATTTAAATGAACATGAATGAAAAGACAAAGGACTTATGTGTTTGATGGTGGAAAGAATTTTGAGCAAGTTTAAAGTTTGGGGAAGTGGAGTGAAGCCAATTTGTGGTTAGAGATATTAGTAACATTAAAGAGAAAAGTAATGTGATTGCTTTGGGTCAGTACCTGAATGCTAAAGAACCTGCAGACTAATGAGTATGAGCTACATCTGCCAAGAAAACTTGAAAACACAATCCACAAGGTACTTGTTTACAAGGCAAACAAACAAGTTTAAAAGGTGTGGGGGTATTAAAGTAATTGGGAACCATAATCTCATAGGGAGTAGCACTGTGAGATATGGCTTTGTTAGAGCAAGTGTGTCAATATGGGGACAGGCTTTGAGGTTTCCTATGTTCAGCTTACCACCCAGTGTCTCAGTTGAATTCCTAATGCCTACAAGATGCAGCACTCTCAGCTCCAACACCATGTATGCCATTAAGCCTCCATGCTCACCATCATGACAATAATGACCTAAAACTCTGAAACTGTAAGTGAGTCATCCCAATTAAATGTTCCCTTTATAAGAATTTCTGTGGTCATGTTGTCTCTTCACAGCAATGAAAATCCTAACTAAGACAAAGGGGTTTATTGGGAGATCAAATGAGGCTAGGCACTCTCTGGCCAAGTTTGAGTCACCAGAGTAAAGCATTATCTTTGGGTTTCTGTAATGGTGATGAAACACCATGACCAAAAACAAGCTGGGGAAGAAATAGATTGGATTATATTTCCATATCACTGTTCATCATTGAAGAAAATCAGGACAGGAAACCAAATTGGCAGTAGCTGATACAGAGGTCATGGATAGGTGCAGCTAACTGGCTTATTCATCTTGGCTTGTCCAGTCTGCTTTCTGATAGAACCTAGGACCACCAGTTGAAGGACCACACCACTCACAATGGGCTGGGCTCTTCCCTATCAGTCACTAATTAAGAAAATGGACTACAACTGCATATTATGGAAGCATTTGTCTTAATTAGGACTTGCTTGCTTCAGATAAATAACTTTTGTCAAGCTGACATAAAACTAACCAGTGAAAGCCCTAAGAAGCCATTGAATGTGGCTGTGAAGGTTAAATCTGATGGAAGCAGCACAATATGAGATGCCAGGATGCAGATGATCCGCCAAGAGGAGCTGTAGATATGGAGCTGAACAAGCTTATGATTGAGACAGAGTCGTGTACGCTTCAGGTGTAAGAGTGGAGGGATGGTACTGCCTAAGTTTTAAAGCCTAGCAAATTACATTATAAGCTCCATTTGGTGGACATTTAGCCCGAAGGTTTGCTATTTTCATTTTCAGATTTTTATTTCACTAAGGAATGATTATTCTTTACTATCACCCATATCTTTCATCTTGAAATATGATATTAATTCTTTGCTATAAGTTAGAAGTTAGAAGTGTCCTATTTTTATTTTATAATAGCTTGTACGAAAGAGTTGTTGGAATTTTATAAAATTTTTATTGAAAATTATTTGCACTCAATATATTCTGATCATTACTTTCCCTCCATGTTCTCCCAGATTCTCCTAACCTCACCACACTTCCAACTCCACATTTTCTTCCTTCCTTTCTTTCTTTCTTTCTTTCTTTCTTTCTTTCTTTCTTTCTTTCTTTCTTCCTTCCTTCCTTCCTTTCTTTCTTTGTTTCTTTCTTTCATAAGAAACAGATAGGCAAATATAAAAGACAAACAAAAAGCAATAACAAAATGAACAAACTAATGGATACAAAGAAAAGGAAAGAGCAAGAAAGGAATAGCACACAGAAAACATACACACTCATGAGTATGTGTGTACACATACAGAAACACTCAACACACCCAGAGAGAGAAAAATACTCCACACACACAGAAACATCAACCATCCCACTCACCGAAGAATATATGCCACCTCCAAAACACACATGAATTCATAAAAAACACAAATACATACATATATGTACTATATAATACAAGATAAATAGTAGGGAAGGTTTAAAAATATGCACACACAAAGGAATATGAGTCAAAAGAACTTCAAAAATAAAATACTATTGAGATAAAAATACTATTGAAATCATTTTCTGTTGGCCAACAACTGCTGGCCAAGGAGCCTGCAAGTGTGGTTTGTATATCTAGTGATGCTCCATTGGAGAAACTAATTTTACTTTGCAAGAATGTTACTTGGAATGGGTACAACATATAATTTCCCCGTCTCAGAAGTGGGACCCTGTCTGGTTTGGACCTGAGCAGAACATGTGCTTCCTGTCACAATCCCTGTGAGGTCACGTGTGTGTCAGTCCTCATCTCTCTGGAAGACACAATTTCCTTGGTATCGCCCACCCCATTCCACATAGTTCCTTAAGCCCTGACCAGAGAGATTTGATGAATACCTCCTGTTTAGAACCATGCATTGCAAGATCTCTCACTTTCTGTACATTGACTGGTTGTGGGTCCCTGCATTAGATCCTAGCTACTTCAGGAAAAGGAATCTCTGATGATGGCTGCAGCTCTGAGATACTTGTCATTCGGTATAGCACAGTATTTCTAGGCGTCATTTCATTACTATTTTTAGGACCATATGCTACCTACTTCCATCTTTTTTCCGTAATCGAATGTTATTCATTGTGTTGGTAGTAAAATCATTATCTAAAAAGCCAATTCCTTGCAATAAACTTTACTATATAATTCAGTAGACATTTGTGGAGTAGGTACTGAATCATTGACTTGGAAGATCAAGCTGATAGATATATTCTTTGTACTAAAACAGCCTCTGATAGTTTGGGGAAAGGGGGAGACTTGATAATGATAAAAGATGGAAGGGCATACATTGCTGTAAAGTGTCAATAAGAATGTACAAAGCAGAGTGTTTCATAGAATTGGTCAAGAAATACTTCCAACTAAAGGAAGCAATATTAACACTGTGTTACCTGGATAATGTGTATTAAAGAAAACCTGAGCAGTAATCTCTCCAAAAATCCCGGAGGATTTAAAATACTGGCAAAGACCAAGAGAGAGTAGCCTCAGGACACTGGGGACAGGATGCTGGGAGGAGATAAGACCCAAGAGGAGGATGAAAGCCACACACAGGGTAATACTCTGAATTTGGTCATGATGGATGGGCTACTGTGAGTTTAGACTAAATTGCTGCCATAGGTCCAGAGCTCAGACACTCGGGTTGCTTTGATGATAATTGTGAGTGAGCAGAAATTATAGAAATACTCTAGTGAAGATATCACAGACATAATTCACAGAGCTGTTTTGTAGTTGGAATAGGACACTCACAGGCATTAGAGTGAGAACTGAAGATGATCTTATATTTTATTTTATTTTTGTTTTCTTTTTTATTATTTTAATTTTAAATAGCTTGTTTTACATGTCAATCCCAGTTCCC